GGGGGGGGGGGGGGGGGGGGGGGGGGGGGGGGGGGGGGGGGGGGGAGGCAGCCCGCAAGACACAAGAAGGGACATGGTGAGCATGAGGGGGGGCACTCTTTCCAACAGGGAGTGCTGTCTGTAACCGTAGCACATTAGCGGGGCTTAGCCTGACCTTACTGCAGCAAGGAAAGATCTAAAGGAGTCCAGGGAAATGTGCTAAAACCAGTCACCTTGGCAAGTCCTCCCCTGTATTGTGGGAAACCGGGTGCAGCTGCTCGCGTCGCCCATGGACAGTGAGGTCTCTCAGACTGGCCTCATCCCCTGATTTTTGGAATGCGGTTTATATTTTAGTGTTAATGTTTTTTTAAAGTTTCCTTGTTGAATATTTACCATTATTTGTTTTATTCTCTACCATGTGGGAATTAAATGTTGTGTACAGTGCTGTCAGGTAAATATTTTTCCAAATAAAACGTTCACTTACCGTGCAGTGGTTTTTTATTTTGGGAAAACAAACCTTACAAGCGTTAAGGGAAAAAAATAATCAGGGGACGAGAACCTAGTTTTGTAAATGTAAAGAAAGAAAAACGATCGAGATTGCAGTATGGCCATTTCAGGTGAATCAGAACTGTATCTGGCAAATTTCACAATGAATAAGAATTATCAGGGTTTCTGCAGGTTTTCTAAGAGTAAATTTAAGACTTTTTTAAGACCTTTTTAAGACCAAATAAAGAAAATAAGGAAAAAAAAAATATCGTAGGGAAATTCATACGAATATATTATAATCATAAGAATCATAAGAATATACGTATTCTTCGGCCTTCCAATCGCACTACATGTCTAAATAGCGCGCTTTAGAAGAAATGGTTCATCTGCGCATGCTTGTCAAGTTCTTCTTCGGGTTACTGACAGATGAAGCAGCACAACGCAATCTACCGTTCAATGAATATTGAGCGATCTAAGCCATGTAGCACAGAAATTACGCTTTTGCTTCTCTTTAAAATCAAAACACACGAGGAAACAATCCCTCACAAAAATTAATGCCATGATCATATGAATTTAAGACTTGCTGGTCTGATTTAAGACCTTTTCAAGGCCTTAATTCACGGAAAAGTGATTTAAGACTTTTTAAGACTTTTTTAAGACCCGCGGAAACCCTGATTATGCTGTTAACTGCTAGAAAGCATGGGCACCCTACAAGGCCAAGGGAATTACCTCAACTTACCTGAAACCATGATCCAGGGTGCCAGAGTTATATTACAGTCCATAACTAAAGACATAGACACAAAAACATGGTTTCAGAGTCTTTATTAGACCAATGCTTTTCAAGTTTTCAACAAAAATGATCCAGAACCATAGGAACTAGTAATGTCCAGCTGAATATACCCTGTCTAATGAGGAACACGGCATCAGATAAGAAGACAGGCGGGCGGAATCCAACTCCGGCTGTGTGATGCAAAAGAAATCAAACGTGAAATGAGAACTAGTCCTAATGTTTAATGGGCGTTTACCCAAGGGGTGGCATCACAGTATAGATCCCCAGAGGTGACCCACGCTCCCTTGGTTGAGTTTCCAACTGCCTTGAAGTAGCAGAGGGAGGAAGAAACATACTTTGAGTGAAAGCAAAACTAAAACACATGTTAGCACCACAGTGCAACAGCCTGAACTCACCAAATAGGAACAATCAAAAAAAAAAAAATCTAATCTTAAGCCCAATTTCAAAAGAAGTGGGTTTGCTAAATGTATTTGAAATACCTGATAAAAAATAAATCTCCTTTGGTCAAGTTAAAAAATAAAAACGGGAAAATAACGACTGTCCCTCTGAGTGACACAGCTGACCAGGTCCTGTAGGCTCTAAGGCTCTGAAGGAGGTGCAAAGGCATTCTGTCTGTGGGTGGCACTCTCACTCCTTGGTGCAGCATGCTGGGGAGTGGAGGGAGGTAGGGTGGCTGCTGCTCTCACACAGCAGGCGAGGAGACGTCAGGGTCTGGGTCGTTGCTGTAGTGGTTGCCAGATGGGGGGTGATTGGGCAGGACGTCCAGCTCGTCCACCTGGGGCCCGGGGTGCAGGACCACCAGCTGGTCCTGGGGGATGTCAGCGGCGGCGGCCGCCAGGTTGGTGATGGACTTGCTCTTCACACACTGGAAGTCCACGTGGCGGCTCTTGCCCTCCTCCTTCTCCCAGGACATGCGGATGAACGGCCGCTGCACGTAGTTGTAGATGACCTCCGGCCGGCCGCCGGGACGCTTCTTCACCTTCTCCTTGTAGGTGGGGTAGCCTGAGGGGGTGAGCGACAGCGGGAAGCCATTCATCGCCTATGAACTCCTGTTACACTTTTAACACATTATGATGGTGAGTCTCCCAAAATGCTGCCCAGATACATTAGCTGAAGGCAGCGACCTGCTTACTAAGAACTTCCTCTGGGATATTGATGCACTGAAGTATAGGCATCCCACTACAGCTGTGTGCTCAATACATGAAAAGTGATCCCAGTCAATCTGGAGAGATTTGGCATAGAATTTAACAATGCCACCTTATCAATTATTTATCTTAAAAAGCTTTATATATTCTAAACCTTTCTTTAGACAGATTTTTTGGAACTCTATTCAGAGGGAATCGATACATTGCAAATTAACACGGAAGAGATATATTGGCAAACGGTTCATTTTAGAACAATGGGGAAATAAACTATTTATCTTACCTTCAATGCCTAATCTAATTTTCTTCAGCCCTCTTTCCTTTAAAACTGATTTGGCAACGTCTCGATTTTCGATGTACTTGAAGAAACGGTACAGCTTTGTGCTGTATATTACTGCAACGCAAGGAGAAAGACTTTAAGCCAAAACTTATGAAAAGTCGTGTCTTCCATAGTGCAACAGACATTTGTGGGTGTGATACATTAAGGCTGTCAATGTCAGCACATTAAATACCCAATTATACCACACACATACTTAATTATGCAGACATGATAATTAGATTCTATGAGAGAATTTGGCTGACAGACGTAGCCAAGTGTCAAATTATAAATGCATGGAGCAGTATTTGAATTGCAGAATTGAGTACATCTCAGCAGGATACTTGTCAACTGTAATACTGTGAATACTACTATCACTGGCTGACTGTTTACAGCTGATGTGTAGCATGTTAATAGGCATCTGAGCAGTATCTGCTCACTCTGCGAGTACTCCTCCCCCATCTGCGGCGGGTACTCCTCGTCCCAGTCCACCACGTCGTCGTCCGTCAGCACCACGATGTGGCACTCGCGCTCGCCGCTCTGTGCGCTGGCCACCATCAACGGGAGAATCATCTCTTCCAAGTAGAACTCAAACTGCCGTCGTGCGCCATCATTAGAAAGCTCGTGCATTAGGGCACCTGCCCACAGGAAGGGGGGGGGGCATTTAGGCCATGCTTCCGAACATGGGTGTCTAACAAGAAACTAACATTCGTTAATTAGCCTGATAAGTGATTTGCTTAAAATATTCAGCTTATAAAAATACACTTGTGCGAACCATATTACTCCAAGTTATAAATAAGGAAGGAGAAAATGGTTGTTTATGTTAAAACTGGAACACACATTTCCTGGAATCATGCTGCAATGTTTTAGACAGACATGACAATTAAAAAAAACATGTGTCAACAAGCAAATGCCCAGAATATTTGTATTCCCAGTACTGAAAATCTATCTTTGGAAATGTGACACTGAAAGTCAACAGCAGACTGGACAAAAGCAGGAAAGGAGTAGAATGGGAGGAAGCACACTCACTGAGATCTCTGCATTTGATAGTGTTGTAGTCAAAGGAGATGCACAGATAGTCACATGCCTCCCGTAACTCCGGAATAGAGATTCCATCAGGGCAGCGGATTATCCCGGATTTGTAGTAATCCTACCAGTATGGATATGCAGAGAACACAAAACACATTCGTTATGGAGGCAGTAATTTCAAAATCTTAAGAACTTTTAGTTTGGTGGACATTCCAACCATTACAGGCTGTAAATCCTGAAACCTGCTCCTGATTAATCTATAGACAGAACTTTCAGTCAAAAGCTGAGTCACACCACAAACCCCTCCTTACTTATCTGTTCCTGCTGTTTATAGTGACCCCTCTGTCACAGCCTGATTTAATACAGTCGCTAAGACAGGATGATGAGCATTACTATCTGATCCTTGTAAACCAGTATTATGTAATAACGGAATATGCACCAATTTCCTCATTTTTACACCAAGCAATGATTTAGACTGGTGTACAGATCCAAAATATACAGATCTGCCCAGTCAAAAAGCCAAAATCGTTATACACTGGGTGATGGGCTAATTCACCTCCAGATTAAACCAGCACCCCTGAATGACTTCATATTAATTCCATTTGCAGCAAGTAAGTGTAAGCCTACTCCCAAAAGGAAATTAACTTACAAAGTGATGAACACTTGGCTAGTATTGCTTGTCCTTGTAAATTTATACTTCCCCCCCCCCCCACTGCAAGTGATTTCATGATCTGAAAGTGATCCAAGTGTTACTTTTCACTCCTACTGTATTAATACATAAAAAGAGTGTTTTTATGTGATGTCATGTTCTATCAGAACAATACAATTAAAACGTGAAAATCATAGTGAAACATGAAAAAACTCACTCTTACCAATATGGCTCTAAACACAGTTGAACTGATTCCTTCTGCAACTTCAAACTCTCCTTTCTCGTTGGGCCGAGTGAAATTGTGCTCCCTTCCAGAGCCAAACATTCTGCAAGACACCAGCTGCTCCTTAACATCCAAGTCAAAGCATGCTAAACGACTTCAGAGATATTCATCGCTCTATAGATCAACACACTTCATAGACTATGGAGAAGCCCTATAGTGTTTAAAGTGTCATATTTACCTCCCCAGCATAGTGTTGGGCTGTGCGGTGAAGATGGAGGGGTCCACCACAAAGCGTGTATTGTCCACAATGAGGGTGACCCTCTCTGAGGTCCTCAGGTTACGAGCTCCATCCTTGGAGTTGTCATAGACAAAGACTGTCTCGCTTCCGGCCATGTTTAGGCCCGTGCCCAGGGCCTTGCAGGTGCCCTCGCTGCTTGACAGGCTGCTGTTGCGGCTGCTGATCACCCCGCTGCTGCTGCTGGAGCCGTTGGGGGAGGCCTTCAGGGGCCTGGGGCTGCTAGGCCGTGATGAGGAACTGGTTTCTCGTTCCCGGTCTGGTGGCAGGCCAAGAAAACACACACTCTGAGCCAAGAGGAAGCAAACTGATACAAATGTAATTGTGGGCTGTGAACTTTAAACATGTCAATAACAAAAGTAGAGTATTTAATATATGAAACTTTGATTCCTTTAAACATTTTAAATTTGAGGAAAATAATGATTAGCACTGCAGTTACGTAAGGGAAGTATCGACGGCTATCAATACAGTGTAGTCAAAAGGATGCATTTTACAATAGGAATTATAAACGGTAATAACAGAATAAGTTAACGTGTATAACTTGATTTTGGGCTTATCTGCAAGATTTTTACATATATTGCATTTTGTATTTGCAATTAGAATGCTGTAAACATTTGTCATAATCCCAAATGAAGGAGTCGGGTTTAAAAAAAATAAATCGCAAGATAAGACGTCTCTAACAGATGATTGACAAGTGCAGAATTCATGAACCAGCTATACACACCACTGTTGTGCTGGTGGGTTGGTGAAGTGATGTTCCTGATGCAGGGTGTCAGCTGACCTTCGCCCCTCTCATGGGAGGAGTCACGTGAGCGGTCACCGGAGCGGCGCCGGTCGCGCGAACGGTCACAGCTCCCGCCGGTTCCATGCAGACTCATCCTGATCAGCTCTGTTTCCAGCCGAAAGCCACGCGATTGGGCACTGGCAGATACAAGGCGCACACACGTGTCCTCCGTTACGGCACAAGAAGAAATGGCTTTGCCCTTGTAAGATAACTACAAAGGTGTTCCCTGTAGTAGAGTCAAGTTACTGCCACCCCCCTCCCCCCCATCTATAAGAAAACATAAAAAAAACCAATACAAACCTATGCCTCACAGTCTAAAAAAAAACCCATTATGATACAACAAAAAGTCAGACAGGAAATCTTTCGGATTTTTACAAGAGATCTGTCTTTTCAGAATAAAATAGATAGATTACAAAACTGAGAAACACGGCCAATATATACACAAAATTGACATTTTCTGCTTGCACGACACCTGGCCGTCATGATCATACACACACTAAGAAACTGCATTGTACTGTGCATAATTACAAACACAAACCTAGATTCTGCACACGTGGCCATTTTCAGAAAGGACAAAACAGTTATACAAGTGCCCAGAGGCATTTACAGCCCACATAAAGTTAAAAGAATTGTCGCCAGGTCCACGACATTACAGGAGCTGCAGAACACTATCTTGTCTAAATAAAATCACCTTTATCTGTGACGGTGTTAAGAAATTTATAAAAGACTTTCCTCAAGGACACTTTACAGGGCTTTAGCAAAGCAGCGGTGCTGACAGTAGAAAGGGGAGCCATAAACAGCAGCCTTTATTGTACTGACCCAGAATGAGAAATGTCCATAATGCAGGGTCTAAAAACAGCGTAATCACTTTTTCTCCATTTTATAATTTGCAGAGGATAACATGACTAGATAACAAAGCTGTAGGATAATGTATTGCAGCAAAAAAAATCCCAACAACTTCCCAAGGAACTCTACCCAGCCCAGCCAATCCACTTTAAAGGTTATGGCTGCGGGTCAGAGGACTTGTTTTCAGTCATAGAATAAAAACTAAGAATACGGTTTCCAGCATCACCATATATGCAAGCTAGTCAACACACACACTCACACTCACATACACACTGAAATTCCTTCCTGTAAACAGCCCTTGTCCAGATCAACAATAGTCATGTCCTGAATTGGTCATGTTCGGAACCTGTGACACAGAGCACGTTTCCCCCCTCTATTTACGCATGCAGTTATGGGCAAAGACATCAGGTGATTTCAAACAGGATGGCCTAAGGGGAACTAAGTACTACACCGTTTCAAAGAGAAAATAATTAGTATAAACTACATTAATGATTACAAGAAAAAGAGCAAGTGAGCGATATTCCTGACACGATCGAGTGCTACTTCAGCTTTTTGCTCTGCATGCTGCAATGACGCTCGAATCCCTCATCCGCGGGATACTGTACATCTAAAGCCTCAACACTGACGGCAGGACGGGATATCGGTACTCGCATACTGCACTCACAGACTGCTACATATTCGAAAAGATGGAGAGAAAGAAAACACTAGCAGACCGCGTGTAAAAATGCCGCTGCCGGGCCACATGCGGAGCGCAGTCGGTGTTCTGACAAAACGTCCTACTTTATCAAAACATCCTACCGTAGTGCTAATCGATAGCCCTAACCCTAAACCCCTTACCTTAACCCCTAAAACCTAACCCTAATCCCAAAACGGTAGAACTGCACATGCGCAGAAAGGCTCGATAGCACGTCTCGATAGGTAGGATGTTTTGTCAGAACACCGGCGCACCGAGAACTTCCGAGCTCTGTATCGGTTATATGTGCGTCAGTTCAGCACTGCTCTATATCGGATTGCCAGCATGTAACAGCTGGCGGCTCGCAAGCAAGCAGGGAGGGAGGGAAGAACAGGCGTGGTGAAACCCCGCTTACGGGCCATCGCTGACTAATGCAGCTGTGTACGCACTGCTACACCCAACAAACGGCCAGCTGGCACAAAAAGGAGAAGCCCTTTTTCTTACTTTTATTCTCTATGTAGTTACTGTATTTGTAAATATATCACAGCCTTCAGTTATATAGATTTCGCGAACAGACATCATAATTCAATGTATGAAATGGTTCAGACTTTGGACAAAGTCATTTCAAGAATAAAATTTTCACTCGCTATCGCCAACCTTAAATGTTATTCAAACTGAAAAAGCAAACAGAACAAAAATACGATACATAAATACATTTTCGAAACACGTACCTGTCAAATCTGCGAGGCGATTTTAAGACAAAGCAACAGCAGACGAGCTGGGGAATGGACGCACAAAAGACTCGCGCTCCTTTGTATACCGACGCCTTATCGACCTGATCAGCATCCTCGGGCATTACTTTTGAAGTTCGGCATATTTAGCAGCGTCCTTCTAACATGCTGGCTGACTCGCACAAGCCTTCATTCACGTCCCATTTTGAGATCCGTTTTTTGATCGCACGGTCTCGCCTCGTAAAGACAGAGAGGAAGGAGGAGACGCGCCAGCCATCCGATTCAGACAGAGAGACCCGTAGCATTAGGTGTCATAGCGCTTTTTTTTAAATCAAAGATATTATTCTATCCTGCTGACGCAGTTCAGCGCCTTTTGGGCTCCTACTGGCTACTCTTCTCAGTAAGATCTTCAGAAAGAGCGATTATGTAGGAGGGACTGGCGGAAGCGGAAAAGCGATTAAAAGCGGCTATTTTGGTTCACCGTTACAGCCTTTAGCATACAGCGGTGATTCTAATCCAAATTACAATTTATGATTTTCTTTATGACTGTCTAACTCTGTCACTGAACAGTACGCAATAACTTGATGAATACTTCAGTTAAGAAGCCCACCTGTCCCCGGAGTATTTTATTAAAGTATTGTACAAACAGGGTCCCGTGGTGCAGAGATGTATACTTCCCTTCGATTCACTGTAGACGCGTAAAGTTTCAGCACCCGCAAAGGTGAGGGAGGGAAAGCGTCCGCAGTGCATCAGCTGACTACGATACTTTGCTGTGAAATGCGTCGACGCGTCATTACTGTATTATACCAGTCCTAGAAAACATTTTGAGGAACTCAATTCAGAAAAATCTCAAAATGACTTATTTGATTTATAATTATTCATTTTGATAGGGGTGCACACAAATCAGATTAGAAAACACCTCTGTTCTACAGGAATTAACAGACTTTCACGATGAAAACCTGTGTACACTGGAACTGATCTTCAGACACTAATTTTATATAATTCAAAGCACAGGTTACCTGAAAAGGTTGTTGCTAAAATAAATATGTAAAGAGCAATAATAAAAATTATTTGAAGCCCTTTTTATTTACCTGCTATTTCGATTTAAAATTATATTAAATTATATGATATTTCACATATTATAAATAACCACTAACTGCATTATAGGCCAAAAGACGACATTTGAAAAATAAGAGTGATGCTTTTCAAGGATTACACACAAATCTTAAAATCACCTTCACATGACAAAGTATCATTTCCATTTCACAGAGCGGTTTTAGGCCAAAAAGCCAAGTGTAACCACGATGTAACTGGCAATCCTGACCTGCATTCAAAGGACCTTGGGTACAGCAGTAGAGACAGTGACTAATTGTGTCTGGCTTATGAAGGTTCAGGGGCACAGGTCTGATGGGGGCTGGAACATCGTGACAGATCCTGCTAGAGCATATGAGTAATCTCCACTTTTTATTATTTATAATATGGAACCGTTTGAGCAAACGACTGACATCATTCCATCATTCCCTCCAACTGCTAATGTGTGGTAAGGACAAACCACTCCTTTACTAAACTATTTCCTTTACTCATAAATGGCTTAAAAAATAAGTACTCAGTCTTATGCAAAGTTAAGTGACTATAACAGTATAGTTTCTTGTTTTGTCAGAGAGGTACGATGCAGAATCATAACAATCCGCAAGGCGGATCTGACCAGTTTGACCTTGTACACAATACCTGGCATTAGATTTTCCACTTGTATAATTTTTATTAAAAATAAAGAAATAACCGAAAGACTGCCTTAGACAGCTATAAACAACCCTCTCAAATATATATATATACTTCTGATTAAGTTTTAACCATAGTGAATTAGAGAGATACATGACGAGTAATGGTGGTGGGATGAGTTTGCAAAAACATCCAGTTTCGAAACAGCCAGACTCTGCTAACTACACATCCTCCAAAACCTTAAGACATACCGATCAGTCCTTCAGAACAGATAAAGCAAATTATACATGGCACCAACATATAAGCTACATATTATATCATAATCTCATAACCGGAACAAATAGCTAGTTCTATCACCATAAAAGAATTGAACAAAATTAATGAACAAACCACTGCATTGTTCACCTAGTCGCTAACATCTCCACACCCAGTTAATCATAACTCATTACATAATCACACTCAGTGGGGGACAAGATGGATCCAAAGGTTTAGCTGAATAAGAAGTTCCAAAGTTTTTGAACCTGTCTTTTAAGCTTAATATTCTTAATTCCTTTAGCAGACGTCAGCTGGTCACCACTTACCTTGAGTGTTTGCAGAGTTTACGAGGTCGGCTGCTAGTCTTCCGCTCCCAGTTTTCGGTATCACTGGAATTGCTGTCATAAGAATGTGGACGTGCTGCCATCACACGCACACAGATAACTCACTTGCAGCGAGTTTCAGTTTTCATAACCTACGATAAAACCACAACAGCGACATTTTTAATTTTCTGATTTCACTGTGTGTTGGTTTATTTTATCAGTGTTACAACTTTGAGGAATTAATAATCTAGATGTTTTGTAGAGTATAAACCGCAACGTCAGCCCGGACGTGACGAATAACCATACATTACAATACATAAAATACAGTGTACGGTGTTACGATTTCTACTAAGCAGGCGTGGAAAACTGCTACTGTATGTCTTTCATAAGCTAGTTTACAGTAGCTAATTTGACAGCTCTGTACGTAAATACGAATCTTAACCATGAGAAAACAGGGCAATAGGCGGGGTGGTGTCGGGGGGTGCAGTTAACATGAAACAAAACTTAACACACCGCAAGGATAGGAGACCACGTAACTAACATACTGTAGGTCAAATCACTTTGGCACAACAAAGCTGCTAAAAACTCCTGCGAAATTAGTTCATCTAATAGTGTGCTAGACGCCGTCGTTCATGAAATAAAAGCAGACTGTTTTACTGTTACAAACATGATGGTGTGGCGAGGCTGTTACACAATAACAGAGCGATTGTTAGAGAAAAACAAAGTGAGTAACCGTTAAAGTATGAACTATTATAACAGCTAGCTATCTCGCTAAATAATGTTATCCGTGAGTCTGAGACGATTAACTGGCTACCTTGACGAAAACACTTCAGTCATTAAAAGACATTTTTCTTACCTTTCCAAGGCCAGAGACAAATCGAGTAAACAGAAAACTAACACCTAAAATCTGTATTTTTAAATTTCCCAAAGTGGCTAAGACCCATCCTGACTAAAGTGACAGGCCACACAGCTAACATCACGAGATGTGGCTGAAATATCGCGAGAGTACAATTTTATTTATTTTTGAAAGACGTTTCCTTCCGGTTTCGGATACAGGGTGGGGAGCGGTGAATAATGCTGTATTTCTTGTTTCTTTATTGATGTTTTGCGCAATTATCTTTGCACTGTGATTCAGCTAGACATTCTTATAGTGTGAGTGAGCATATATGACATGTCGTAGGTGGCAAATTTTGTTTATGTTTCATGTTTGGTTACTGAAATTGATGTTTGTTATCTGTGTTTGTGTTTATGATTGTCACTTCAGGGGTGAGAAGGTGATCATACGTTTGACCTGTTCAAAATCAGTCTGATCATAATTTTAACAAACGCTTTCTAAAATCCAGTGCATTCTCTCATCGAAATTAACCAGTCTTTTCTGGTTAATGAACTACATAAAGACATCCACTTACAGTACGTTTCTCTCCAAGTGTTGCCTTTCAAACCATGTCAGTTCCAAAAAGGCAAACGTTATGTGTAGGTTTTGAATTTCATGTTTGCTCAGTTTAATGTAGTATTAATTCACATTAAATCGATGCTTAAATTCATTTAACAATATACATTTTATATGATACCCTTTTATATCATTGACGTATATATATTGGTATCTACAGTACATTAAGTATTTAGAGCTGGAAATTGATTTTCTAACAATGGGAATACAATTTCACTGTGATATGGTGACACTGCACATTTTTTTACATCTGACTTTAACCTTGCTGAACACCCCAGTATTAAAGAGCAATTGTAACTGGAATTTTAAATATCTTGCATTTTTAATAAATATTACAATAAATACCATGGTTTAAGTTTCTTTTTTTTTTTTTAAATGTATCAGTGAGCAATAGCAGAATAAAATAATTTCTTAATCTGGTTAACATTTTTAATTTTACAAAAGTATTGTAGAAAAAAAACAATAAAACAATATAAATCCATACATACAACAAATTGATGATCATTTTAAAATTATTCCCTCAAAAATTGTAACATTTTTACATGCATGTATTTCACATTTGCTTAAAGTCCCCATTCCCACTTGCTTTCTGTTTTCTCACATACACATTCAAAACACTTGCCATTGATCCAATAATAGTTTTGAGATGTATAATAAAAACAAGAAATTCTTTACAAAAGTATTTGTGGTGTATTTATTTTTCCACAACATGGAACCTGTCCTGTACCACAGAGTGTTCAGGTTGGAGGGTTTCTGCCCCAGCTGTACCTCTCCTGTCTATGCTCCTATGCAGAGCTGTGTGAATATCCATCAGTCTCTTCTGAAGCCAGTCCTGCCTTTCTTGGACATGCTTGTGCTCACCAAGGTTGTGCATTAACTGCACTTCACCTAAAGACCGTTTCCTGTGGTTTCATAAAATAAATATAGCAGCAGGTCATGTCAAAGGATATATTTCCTCATTTGATGCATCTGTTCAAAAAGGATTCCTAATAAGAAGCTTAGTTTTTATAGAAAGGTACATTTATTTGAATTTTTTAAAATTATTTTTCAAATTTTTTTTTATTAAATAATTAAGACAATTTATAATTATGTAAAGACTTACCTCACCGGGCCTCCTTCAGACTTTGAGAAGCATATAATATAGAATATAAATATTAAAATGGTTTTCATTTTCATCACCTGTCAAGTACAGACAGAAAGTTTTAGAGTTTTCTGCGGCTCTTTGAGCTGATATGTGTTTATAATCAGTAAAGAATTAATCTCTTCACAGGGTTTTATGATGAAAATTGCAAAAATGTGTATGAATTTAAAACTAGAAAAACATACTACTTCGTAAACTTTATATAACAGCATGTAAAGTATGTACATTTATGAATGTTCAATCATAAATGTATTTGGCAAATTTACCTACAACTTTCTACAGTGTTATCTATGTTCCCGCACGCTATGCTGATTATCCTATTGGTAGAGAATATTGTGACTCTCCCCAAGGGCCTTTTATAGCTCAACTGGTCATTGATGAGCCACATCCATTATAGACGCTGATTCATTAGGGTAAGCTTGCGTGGTATATCGTCGTTAGTTCTTTGTATTGCAACTTCTGTGTGTTTAAGTGACGTCCTACCAGCACGTGAAACATAAATCAAGGATGTATGTTGGCTTCTTGTGAATATCAGGTCCTGACATAAAATATTTGTGTGCATTAAGACACCATATAGTAAATATTATTTTCCAACATTGTATTATTGTATTGTATTATATAACATTTTAGGTACTTATTTCAATGTTAATTGCATACTACTTACTATATGCAAAATATATGAGTCATGTACAAAATCTTAATTCTTCTTGGTTGCTGAATACAGAACTAAAATGGAGCTTTAATGTGTCCCACTGGAAGAAAAAAAAGGACACAATACTACCTCTCGACAAAAATTTATAACTAGCCCTGGCCAAGACCAAGTTTCCAAGGAGACCGACAACCATGTACTATCTTACAAATGAAGAAGAACAATTGCCTGAATGCGTGCAGCACATCCGTTTGGTCTATGAAATGACGTCAAAGCAATGCCTCAGCATCAGATATAACGTTTATTTGTAAAAACGACTGCGTCATTCTGTTTTGGGCATCTGGAGGGCAATTGCACCAAATGACCCCTTCCACCACCCACATTCTCAGCAAATTTAAAGGAGCAGTAATTTTAAGATTATTTGTGGGGAAATGGACACGGACCCAATATATACATACTGTATATATATGATAAGTTTAAAAATGAATGCATATTGTGTGCGTCATATTTACATTTTTGATGAGATTCAGGTAAAGCATCTCATTCCAGGTCACACGAGTATGGCCAGCATAGGAAACCATTACTCTTTTAGTTACATGTCTGCTACCTCACTTATGCACCCGTTTCCTACCCACAAAAATATGCAGCTGCAGCCTTTCAATAGCATGCAATTCAATAGCATCATGTTTGGGCAGAATATGGTTAGCATTCCTATTCAATAACAAAGTCATAGGTTTATAGCTAAGTTTAAAAACAATGTAACGAAAGTGCCATTACAAAACCTCATAACAGCTTGAAAAAGGGAATGGGGAAAAAAAAATGACTTGGTTTAAATATACGACAATACCGCCACATTATCAAGCAACCAACTGTTACTTAAATTAAATAATTTATAGACCAATGAAGCCACCTTATTCAAACTGAAAAAAATCATCACATACATTTGTTCAATCTCATAATAGGAGATATAAGAGATATAATCATTTTCTTCAGTTTAATAAACACTGACAAAGCATAAAAGAATACAAATCATTGGTCGCATAGATCCCTAATTACATCCAGTTGTCTTATTTTAAATCTTTCGAAAATTCCATTCATAAATCCACCTTAAAATTATAACATGAATAGGAAGAGGCAAAGTTGTACCCAATCCAGTTCACTTATAATTCTGAAATTAATTATGTCTGAAGAGTTTGATTCCCATCCATTTCCAAAGATGGAAAAATACATAAACCGGTATAGTGACAGGCAAGAGAAGGCTATAGAAACACAGACTACTTGTGCTTGTGCATCCTTGTGGGAAATTCTCATCCATACTAGCAGAGTAAAAAAGTCCCAAAAGAGACACGATTGGAATCAGGACCGTCACAGTGGAAAGAGAAAAAACCATCTTGGTAGTCAGAATAGTCTGTTAATTACTGTGCTTTCTCTTGATTTCTTCTTTAACACAGTCCATGAAAATCACTTGTATCACGGAAGCACGTCCTTTAATGCTTCTACCAAACTCCACAAACTTTCTGTCCACTGGTCTTCTCTTCGTGCCTTGCAAAGCACAAACCCGATAGATCTGAAATAAGCAATTTAATAAAGCCATTTAAATGTTAAAACAATTTTAAACCGCAGCCAAACCTAGAAATCTTTCAATTCCTAAAGAGTAGACAAACGAGTACATCCAGATAAATGCCATGCCAAGCAGTAGATACCTGTTAATTGTTGACGTCCGTGACAAGAGTACATATAACTATGTGCAGATAACATGCATGAAACATATTCTCATTAAATCACAATTAAAAAATACACGAAATAATATTCCACAAAACGCTTGAACGTAGCCACTGAAATATTCCTGATGACGACGAGAAACTTCCGGTTTTACAATTTCAAAATAAAAGTCTTTTAAAAAATACGCGTTCGTAAACTATAAACAAAGTTATTTGAATAAGAATATATCAATTTATTAAAACCAGATTTTTAATAAATACTTTTAATAAAATATTAACAGAAAAGTCATTATGTTCATTCATCCCTTAATCAATCTTCATACCAAGGGCAGCGTCATGAACATACCCGATGACTCACAGTGCAGAGGACACTAGAGCACATACCTTTTTTTTTGTGGCTATTTAGAGATGCAGATGCAAAGAACCGCTTTTATTTGTATAACCGGAAGACACCAGGGTACCCAAAAGAAACGTGCATAAATACAAGAAAGACAACTTCAAATGCACATAAAAGGGGTGTAATTTGAACCCGCAACCCCTGAGGTGGCGGGCTACGGTGCTACTCGCTAATACTTACTAATTAACTATAAATGAACGGTAACTTGATAATTGACATTTTATAACACACAAAACGCAACAAAGACACTTCTGCAAAATGCCAAATAAATTTACTTACACGAACTATAAATACGTTTTATATAGCTCAAAAGACGCGTCACCGTTGACTTTTATTTTACTAAAAAAATCCCGGAGCTCAACAGTTTTTTTGTCGCGATATAAACACGTCAGAGACGTCATTTATGCTATAAATTTGTCTGGATTGGTCATGTAAATGTCAGAACCAATCCTGGCAGTAATTATTGGGATTTTTAAAAACTGTAAACATTGGCAAATCAATTTTAAGTTGCAGCTTGACAATTAGCCACATTTTGGTAGCATATTGTGTTACGGTATCAGTCGAGGAAGGAATAACATTTTTGAATAAAACTTTGAATAAAGCGTCACTAAGTCAGGCGCATTTATCTGTATTATTTACACCGACTATGACAAAGAAATTCAAAATGCAATACACATACTGTATATACGTCATAAATCATTATTTCATCTACTAAAACAATGTCATGTGCCTGAATTATAGTACTGTGGACGCGCAAGATAAAGAAAGTTCCCCCTACATCAGCTTCTTCTGAACACAGGTTCCGAGACCTAAATTATGATTCTGTGAAGCAACTAAATTTAATCTGATAAGCCTATATACATGCAGTTAATCAAACACTGAAAAATACCATTGCTGAAGACACTAACAGTTATCTATATTATTATGTACAATTTTTATGACACCACTTTATTGTTTTTCTCCACTGACTACTGTAGGGCGACAGCGTAATTAAAGTTGTCTTACCGTATACTACCGAGAGGTGGTAGTATAACTCCTCACTTGACGGTGTTTTTTGGTCGTTGTCCTCCCTAACTTCACGTTTGTTTTCATATAGCCTGCATACGCTATATGTATTCATTTCATGCGGTGCTTGCATATAATTACTCAGTTTTTAGTAATAAGATTTTGGATACGCGTCATCAAAGTCTCTGGAAACTGTGCCATCCTCAATATTTCTGAAGATTTACTTTTATAATTTATTCCGTCTAATGCACATAGTCAATTCAAAACCCGTACTGTAGATACTGAAGGTTGCTACAATCCATTTGCTTCGGAGGTCGGAACTGGGAATGACGTCACACACGAATTAACAGCGTTCCAGTACAGCAAGTCGGAAAGCCATCTAACAATACCAGGGACTCGTTTCAAAAAGCAAGATTTTTTTGCTTACCCGGATATCTTGATTCAATTTACCCCAGTTTAAATGGTCTTTATCTTCGTTCACTTACATTTAGCCCAGACTACCTTAAATGATATATCAAACCAATTTCAAGGAGAGGTTGAATTAGTTTAAAGTCTGCCTGTTCTTAGGAATTTCAGCTAAACCAACAACAAAAACCATTTTAACAGTGCGCATCCATTCATCCATCCATCCATCCATTTTGCATACACTACCTATCACGGAAGCTTCGGTCGAAGGGCAAGAAATGAGCCAGGAGGGGGCACCAACACATCGCAGAGCACACACACATACACTACTGCAGAACGAATCCATTAAAATTAAATAGCAATTATGGTATCCAGCCCTTTGTCATTTTTTCATTGTCAGTTCAGGAGACCATGAAAATGTTGTAGAGAGTTGACATATTTTCTTTGTGGGTTCTCTTCTGTATCAACCAAATGTGGAATAATTTTCATAATTAACGGTTTTGGAATATGATTGTCTCCTTTTGTTGCTCTTCATTGATGAGGTTTGTAGGATATATATGTACAAATCAGACTAGTGTACTGATGCAAGTCATGAGAATACTGTCATCAAAGTAGGCCTATATGCTACGGACAACTTGCAACATTTGAAGCAGGACTGTAAATGTCGTGAAATAACGGTATTGTCCTGATGTGACCCGGGTCTCGTTGAGCGAAAAGTTATTGAGTATTGATTTTTTTTCTCTCGCCTCCAGATGATAAACACCTCAAGGCTTGTAAGGAGCGAGAGGAGTTCTACTGTATGCTGCATCAGCATAGCCGATGTTCCGGGCAATTCAGTTTCCCTATGTTTCCCCTGTCGCGCGCTGATTTGTACACGGTTTCGCTGGTGTCATGTCTTTTTACGAAGCTCTTGAGGTAAACAAGCCATATATTTTAAAACATCACATGCCTTTTCGATGTTTTTTGTTTTTACAGATAATAAATGAAAGTATTTAATTCGCTGGATAGAGATATTTCTTGATGAAAACGGTATAGTATTGCTTATAAGACTATATTATGCGTGACGATCTACTGTATTCACATGTAATAATGTACCTGAGTGATTTTCAGACATCTCACATACATATTTGCCTAAATATTAGGAGAATCATTATTTCCTGACATCCAGGATATTTGGTCCCCCCCTGTTAAAACAGGTATACAGCAACTCTGGGCCTCGGTACTAATAACAAAACAGTATTCACATGTAATAATGTACCTGAGTGATTTTCAGACATTTCACATACCTCTTTGTTTTAATATTAGGGGAAACATTACTGAAAACCGGCGCTCCATGCGCCGCACGTTCAGGCTGCCATCGCCTACAAGGCGTTTGGTTCTTTGTCATTTCATTTGATCCAAAAACTTTGTGGAATCAGATTTGTGCCAATATTATCAAGCAAAACAAGTTATGAACTTGATAATATTGGCACAAATCTGATTCCATAAAACTCCTAACTAACTGAAATATTTACGGTATAATTGCAAATATCACTACGAAATGAAATGAAAAATTGTATGAAAATGCGACATTGAAAGGAAACGTTGTTTTATATAACAAAAATATAAGGACGAGTATAATGTAGTCGGGTAAATGGGGACCGCTCATTCATTTCTATGGGCTAACACTAACTATGACAACCTTAACCCAGCCCTAACCATAACCATAAGTAACCAAGCAAAATACAAGAGATTTTGCAGTTTTAGTTTTTTCATTGCAGTTACAGATTTTTAATAAATTGAGTTTTCCATTATGGGGACCAGGAAACTGATCCCCATACAGGGAAAAATGCGGGTATTCATCACGTTGTAGAGACATTGTGTCGCCATAAGGTAAGGTATACCCGCTCTCTCTCTCTCTCTCTCTCTCTCTCTCTCTCTCACACACACACACACACACACACAGTAATTATATCTGTGTGGGGACTCTCCATTCATTTCAATGTGGAAATCTCTAATCCCAACATGACACCCTTAACCCCTACCCAGCCCTAACCTTATAACCATACATGACCAAACAAAATACGAGACTTTTGGCATTTTTACTTTTTTGATCTTTATGGGGGCCTGAAAGATGGTCTCCACATCGTCAAACATTGTGGGGCCATTTGGTCCACACACAGAGATTACTACTACTACTTAGATTCCCCCAGAAGCTACTGTATCATTACGAGAAAGAACGAGAGACACGCATTGCACTGTTTTAACCACATGATGTCACTATACATCTAAATAACGCGTCTGCAGTGTCACACAACCAAATTTCAATCATGATTTTTCACACCTGAATGCATAAATGATAAAGGAGGTTATTATGAATGTGAGTTAAAATAATTAGACAAAACCTTAGTATTTTATATGATATCATTCATATTGTTATCTGCAAAGCACAAAATGAAATTGCTGCTCTGAAATGTTTATTATAATCTAGTCGTTCCTTTTAATGTTAGGCTATATATACTACGCTCTGAATATAGCACAGAGACCAGTATTATAACTGCATATCTGAGAAAACATATTAAAGTACTTTTCCATTATTTATCAACATTTCTTTTGTCAATACAAGGAGTTCTGTTCCCTGTAAGAAAACCACAACCTAAAATGATTGAAACAAAGGTGTAATTTGAGACAGACTCATTACGTGGCTAAAATGGCAGTGTAAAATACTGGATCCAAAGCACTGATCCATAAATATCCCTGGGTGCCATATTCTTGTGTCCTGATCCCTTACATTTTAAAGTTTGGGATATTGATTTACTGTATCTTTGAACTTTCATAGGCAATTAAACCAAGAGGGATTGCTCATTATCTCCCTTTGTCCAATTAAATTACACTTAGACTGTGGTAACGGGCCATCCAGCGTAATGCATTTCAGGTAATAACAACAGATAATAAAAACCTTTCAGAAACTGCTGAAATTCATTTCAGGTCGCATGATCTCATAACTATAATAGAAGACATTGTCTGAATAAAATCATTTAAATCACAGATTATAGGCCTCGTGTGGCACTTCATAGAATCAAATTTGTTGAGTTTAAAATATTATCAAAGGAAATAGACTTATTAGATTTTGGTACTTAATCCCCTCCCATCAGAATACTGTTCTTTATGATAAAAAAACTTTTAGAGAGACAAAAAGGCAATTTGGACAATGAGAGGTACAGCAATACTCCTGAGATACGTTTTAATGAAAAAACTAATTAGTGATAAAGATGTAGCTGAAAAGTGAAAGTAGTCAGCTCATTCTTCTGCGAGGGGTTTAGAGCAATTTTTCTTGTGTTGGAAAGTGTGTACAGGTATAGTTAACTGGCTTTATTAGATACCATCTCTTCCGAATGTTATTCACTATTTTCAATTTCTTGCAGGAATATTTGATTAATCTATTCATTAAAATTAATCCATATCAATCTGTAAAGGATCATTTTGTACCATTTTCTAATGTGTCCCAGAGAAACATTTAATACTCTAACACAGTGTTTCCCAGTCCGGTCCTCAGAGAGCCACAGTCGGTGCATGTTTTTGCTCCCACTGAGCTCCCTGTGAGACAGTCCACATCTTTGCTACCTCCCAGCTCCCAGAGGGAGCAAAAACATGGACTGTCTGTGGGTCGCCGAGGACCGGATTGGGCAACACTGTTCTTGTGAAATAAAAATTAACTCGTTAAATACAAAACATGTAACCAGTTGTTGCAGCGTGAAATTGTTCCCACGTAGGGGATTACGTTGAAGTAGAAGGAATGGAATCTGGGAATAGTGAACAAGCCCAGTGTGGAGCAGGGAGAGAGTGAACCTCAGTGACAGATGACTGGTGATCAGTCAGCCTGGCAGCCAGAGAAATGGAGTTAGAGTGTGTGCAGAAATATCCTGTCATTGACCCGCCCCAATGGCCTTGCCTCCGTGAGATTTGTGTGCCCCCCAGGTGCCCAACTCCCCTTAAACATAAATTTATGTTTCTCTTTTTTAACACAATGCATTACAGGACCTTAGTCTATCCTTACTGACTTAGCAAAGGGTGGACATTAGCTTTTTTGGTATCACTTTACTTGACAGGGCACAAATAATATAGTAATATGATATTACTTATGTATTAATTAATCACTACCTTAAGAGTTTACATACTGATCTCATGTTAATTCATCATTAATAAATGGTGATGCATGTTTTATCTCAAGCAGTTACTATATTTGTTACTATATCTGTTAATTCTGTAAATCATTGTGAACTTCTGAAGGACTTACCCAGAAACAAGATGTGAATAACACAAGTGAAATACTGATCTCATGTTTGTTCATAATTAATGAATCATAAGGGATCTTTTATCTCAAGTAGCGACTATATTTTTCATGATTTGTACTTCAGTAGTAACTGAATTATTACTAAGTATATGTGTCCTGTCAAGTAGTGTTACTGCTTTTTTTTTTTTTAAAGAAGAACAACAATAAAATGATTCACACTAACAAATGCCTATTTACAGCAGAGCAAAATCCAGGGCAGAGGATTTAATATGCAAATATATTTCAGTTGCAAATATTACTACAGGTATATCATTCAATGGGAATAAAACAACTGTAATTTGACTGATTATTGTCTCCTGATTTATAAATACATTAAAAAAATAAAGAAATAATGACATGAGAGCAATGACATCAGCTCCTGTACTGGTGGTTTTACGGGTCATTTTCTGATCCATACTGTCAATACCTCGTAGAAGCCCTTTACTAAACCTGAATCTGTAAAAATACTGTTTTCAAATGAACAACAACACAAAATAAATGACCATGAATATGAATACCTTTTTCCTGTTTAATATTGATAAAGTTCTGGTATGTGCACAGTGTTTGCCTTACAGT